AGTTCGGAGGCCAACCGAGCCTCAAGCTCTTCTATTTTTCTTGATTGAACCAATATCTTCTCCTTCATGCCTTGGAGTTGGTTTTCGGCCGATGATAATTGGGCTCGAGCAGTTTCTTTTTCTGCAGCAAGACGACCCATACCTTCTTTCCATCCCAAGGACTCCTCCCTTATCATATCGACCTCCTCACGAAGCTTCCCAATCACCTCAAGCTTCTGCTGCAACTGTGAGATCGAAATATTAGCCACCGTTCCAAGATCGAGCCCATGGGTTTTTAAGATTATTATTACCTGCTCGGTCAGGTCGGTCTGGTCTTGATGAGCCTTGGCCAACTCAGCTTGGAGGTCTTTGATATATTCTTCCCTTTGCCCGAAGAGGAGTCTAAGGGTGTTCTTCTCCTCCGTGACCCGTCGGAGGTCGGCCTCATACCGACGCAGCTCAGTTCGAGATCGAGAACATGCTTCTCGATGAACCGCTACGGCCTACGTAAGAAGGAAGAAAAGAAGTTAGAGAAGAATAGCAAACATAAAAGTAATATCAACGAAAGGAGTTAAAGCTTACCCAATTCAAAGCTTGCTGCACTTTACAGAAAAGGCCTGACACATCACTAGGGCCAGGAACATCCTCGACTCCTTTAAACAAATCACAAAAGGGATCCTCCCCTTCATGAGACCGATTTATCTCGAGGGCCCCCAAAGCTTGGGCTTCCCAAATCGCCCCTTAGAAAAGGCAGGGAGAATGGGCGAGTCTCTAATTACTATTGCCCCAAGCGACTCGCTTGGGGCATTCTCTTCAGTTCAGAGAGCTTCAGGACCGGACTCTTCTGATATACCCACCATTTGTTGACTTTGGTGGGAAGCATCGTCGGTCTCTAGTGATTCAGGGACTCTACCCGAACCTTCATTCGATATCTCCTCAGTCCGAGGCGGAGCTTTATAAATCACCATCCATTCAGCTGCCTTTGGGGCATCGATGGTTTTATTCGCTCGGGCCACCAGCACAGACCCGTCATTTTCTTCTTCTTCATCTTCATCCCTTAGACGCAGAACTGATTCCATAGTCAAAGGGATGATGTTCTTCCTCGGCTTACGAGCCATCCTCGTCTTCGATTTTGGATCATCGGTAGAGGAGGCCATTTTTCTCTTATTATCCTTCATCGGTTTTGGAACAGAGGTCGAAGCCCCTTCCTCGACGGGCGAGAGCCTCAAAACCGCATCTTTGCCCACACCTACATACAGGTAAATTGATTTAAGTATATGGAAAGTATCTCGTTCGAACTACCAAAGATACGAGAAAAAGGCTTACCATGATTTTTGGCCTCCCATCGGACCTTAGACAAATCACGCCATGAGCGTTCGATATATGTGGAGGTCGAAGCTAGATCCCGTACCCAGTTTTTGAGACCGGGAACTGCACCGGGCATCCAAGGAACCGCTGCATCACAAAAAGGGGATATCGGTGAGAAAAGAAATGAAGGGGAAAAATAGTAGGAGATAACAGCAGAATTACACTTACGCTTCATGTTCCACTCCTCGGGAAATGGTATCTTTTCAGTCGGAATCAGGTCCGAAGTCTTCACTCGAACGAACCTGCCTATCCAGCCTCGATCCCTCTCCTCGTATATGCTCGAGAACAAAACCTTGGTAGCCCGGCGCTGAAGATTTATTAACCCGCCTCGAAAGAGGCGAGGGCAGTGCAATCGAATGAGATGGTCGAAGGTGAAAGGCATCCCCTCAATTTTGTTCACGAAGTAACGAATCAAAATAACGATCCACCAAAAAGAAGGGTGGATCTAGCCTAGGGTTATTTGGTATTGACGGCAGAAATCAATAATAACAGGGTCGAGGGGACCTAACGTGAAAGGATAAGTATACACACTTAGAAACCCATTCACGTAAGTGGTGATATCTTCTTCAGGAGACGGGATTACTATTTCTTTGTTCTCCCAATTACAATCTTTCTTTAGTTGTTCGAGGTGCCCCTCGGTTATCGAACACATATACCTCGATACTGGCTCATATCGGTCGGGAAACGACAGGCCTTTATCGACCTTAAAATCAGAGGTAAGAACACACGCCCCAGGAACACACTCCTCAAGTCGTGGCTCCACCGATGTTTTGTCGGTGGCAGACTGTGAAGAAGAAGCTTTTTCTTTTTGAGGAATGGTTTTTGATGTTTTCGCCATTTTGGATTTTAAGATTGAAAATAGAAGGAGGTAACATAGATTTGGTGTTTTTGAAGAAGGATTTTGCAGTAAAAAATCGCAAATTTACAGATGAACTCAAAAGAAGAACTTGAAAAATTTGGAGATTGAAGATGTAAAAGTGATAAATTGTAAAAGGAAGGGCTATTTATAGATTGAACAATGGCGGTTCAATATCAGCGGTGGCCGACCACCGTCTGCTACGCATTAAATGCCTTGAAAAACTAAATCGACGGGGCAACTATCACGTGCGTCATGATCTAGCCCGATGTAAACGTCATCTTATATCCGATCGAGCTGTTGGGAAATTATATCGTTTCTCGCCATATCCTTCCCTAGAAACGAGGGGACTATTTGTATACGGCCGAAACTGATTTTGACCTTCGTACGTCTGATCGAGATCGAAACATAATGGACCGATGAAAGTCTTCATGATATCGAGATGGGATCCGAAGAAGGTATAAACGAGCTTAAAGTTTCAGGGACAAGTCAAATATCGAGCTCGGGTCCAAATCGAACTATGATGAGATGTGATGGAATCGAGCTTAAGGGTAGAGGCCAACCAATACCAAGCCTAAGTCATTACCGGACCCCGAATCGGCATCGACCTCAAACCCGCATCAAGGTCTAAAACTGAAAACCGACCAATAATGAGTCCGACCAAGATTGAGCTCATAGACAAGAGCCGTTGCAGTCGCACTAAGGGAGAGAATCTCGGCGGGAATTAGAAAAAAGATGATTTATCATGGGTTCTCCACTATGTATTTTTAATTATATCTAAATTAGGATTCCCCTCTATAAAAGGGATGACTATATTTCTGTAAAAGACAAGTTTTGCATATATTGTAACGGAAATATCATACACTCCTATTTTGAAGAGTTATCCTTTTTAGCTTCTTAGATTGATTCATCTTACTTAATCCATAAATCATTCTCTTTCCAATTTTGTTTATTTTTCATTCTTTATAGTCAATATTCGTGACAAAAGTGAGTTGCTCTAGTAGTGAGCACCTTCCACTTCCAACCAAGAGGTTGTGAGTTCGAGTCACCCCAAGAGCAAGGTGAGAGTTCTTGGAGGGAGGGAGCCGATGGTCTATCATAAACAGCCTCTCTACCCCAGGGTAAGGGTATGATCTGCGTACACACTACCCTCCCCATATCCCATGAGTGGGATTATACCGGGTGGTTATTGTTGTTATAGTCAATATTCGATAATTCTATTTATTCTAAAGATTTGTGTCAATTTATACCACATACCTTTAGAACTACGTACAAATTCAAACTACGTACAAATTCAACTCTATCCATTTTTCGGGTAAACAAAAATAAAGACAAATAAGGAAGGAAACATTACTGTAAATGTATCCTCAAGTCAATCAAAATGAAGATGTCTCTTTCGATCAACTAAAAATGACAACATAAAATTAAGACAAAAAAGAAGAAAAGAGGGAATTTGATGCTTTAATATTCTACTCCATTTACGATGACGTTACTATTGAAAATTACTTTTTCTTTTTAAAATACTTTTGGTTTTCCTCTATTGTTTTTGCAATGACAATTTCTTTTTTTCCACCTTGCGGTAATTTGAAAAAAGAAAAAAAGAAAACAAGGAGCTCATACATCGAAATATTCTGCAAATTTATTGATATTAACGTCTAAATTTGAGATCTCGATCTTATTTCCTATGGATTAAATCAATCGGAAAGTTTGATTTTTTTTTTAAAGTATTTTTTTGTTTGGTAATAATTACTTCAACTAACACTAAATTATTGTTGTCAGCTTTTATATACTTAATAACTTCATTAGGACAGTATTTTCATATCATATTACTGATAAAAAGTAAAGCTATTATTAATTGTCCCATTGAAGTTATTACAGAGGAGCTGCTTTATACCATGAGCTACAAGCTAATTTAGGAAGGAAATCATTAACGGCTATATACATGATTTTAGGGATTCTCAACATCCAATAATTATACAATAATGTTTTATCTGATATTATATACATTGGATACTAAGATTTATGACAAGTCATAGCGAATCACTAAGGGAAATTAAAATATAACGAAGTAAATCCATAAAAAAGTCAATAAAATTCAACATATAATATATATGCTTTAAAAAATTAATTTATATATCTACTGTATAATTTTTCGATGACACAAAAATGGCTTCACCACTGTTGACGAGATTGTAATATGAAGGTGATATCATTAAATCAATTATGCTTCCATCCCGAACTAGTAACTTATCTTTTGTATGAAGCTTCTACTATCCATTTTATTTTTTTAGATTTTCTGTCCGACTCTAAACTTAAAATCTCTAATTAAAGATGAAACCATAGTGTCTATTTTGCTAAATTCATGCAAATTCAACATTAGAGGATTGCTTATTATCATTCACTATTTCTAAACTTAGTGCTAAAGTATAACATCTCTTCTTCCTTCATTAAAGATGTAGTGGGATGTTAAATATTTCTACTTTTTCACAAATTTCATTCGAGAATGAAATCCTCTTTATTAAAGAGCTAAAATCTTCAATAGTAAAATTTTTACGACAACCAAATACTTGAAATGAGTATCCAACTAATTCAAATTTATACAGTAAAATATTTATTATGGGAGATAGTGATGCATAAGCCAACGAGAGTTGTAATGAAGTATATGAAATTGCCTTTGTTAGGGACCATTTTAACTCCCATTATAAGACGACGTCTTACCCAATATGGACGATAAATCAAAAAAAAGATAGTGATGCATAGAATATTTCTCTATTCTTTAATCCATTGAATTGGCAACAAGTAGTAGCCCAAGTGCCCAACTACTATTAGATTCCCAATTCTCAATAGAATCACACTTTTCCAATTGCCTTTTAACATATTTCCCTCTTCTCTTAGAAGAAAAAGAAGAGAGTATATAATAGTAGAAGAAAAGAAGCAAAAAATCTGGAGAAAAATTGAACAGAAATGTCAGAACCAGAAGAAAAAATAACTTCAAAAAATCCCCGACCGAAGTCAAAGGAGTTTTCTTCTCCGCCGCCGCAACAACCACCGCACACGGCGATGGAGAAAGAATCAACGACGATGATGATGGATCTCGATATCGATGCTTCCTGGTCGTTTGATCAGATTTTCGCTGCAGCAGCGGCTGTTTCGTCTAATCCTACGTCGCCATTTTTGCCTTGTTCTCCTCTTTGGGGATTTTCCGATGATATCGAGGAAAAACCTGCCGGAAATTCATTCTCCGGTGCTCTCCGTTTCTCCGGTCACCCTAGATTTGGTGCTACTTGTATGTAAGCCTTTGAGTTTAAGCTGTTTTTCCTTGATAATATTTGAAGAATTTTGTAGGAAAGTTAGTTGACTTGCTATTTTTGCATAGAGTCTAAGTTATATATACTTGCACTGTAAAAACATATTTATACAATCATGTCATTTATTAGATAATTATAGGTAAATGTGTACTGAATCATTAATTAATAATCTGGTAAAATGATAAACAAACTTTTATCATAGGTTAAAATTCACTGATGATATTAGAAGAACTTGTGTAAAGTTAGTTGACTTTTTTTGTCTTGCTTTAAATTCGGTGACTTTTTACACATTCAAATTTTATGGAGTTTGTTTTAAGTTTTCCAAAAACGGACTTTTGCTGTTTTTGCAGAAAGTGTTTGTTTTTATGCTGTTTTTGCGCGAAATTGTAACTTTTCACGGAAATTTCTGAGCTCAAGTTCTCAAATCTTGTAAAATTAAAGAACTCTTCTCGGAAAAAGAGTATCAAACATGCAAAAACTTTAAAAAAAATTATAAAACTTTCTGCAGATATTGAAACAGTGCTTGAGTGGTAAAGATTTTATTAAAAAGAAAGACACATTTATTTATTGGTTTAGTGTAAACAATCAGTTTACATATTAATTAAAAGAATATGTAGAAGTATTTGTTGCCTTTATTGATAAGAAAACAGTACAATGATACTGTGATTAGTGCAACATTAAACCAGCTACCAAGTCATGTTTTTCCTTGATGAATTCAGTATTATAAGCAAAAACATTACTGCACATAGTACTTATCAAAAAAGGAAAAAGATTACTTCACATAGCAAAACAATTAAAACTATGCTGTCACTCTTCTATAAGTTATTTTTCCAACAACATAGATTGTTGATATACAAAAGTTTAAACTTTTTTCCATCTTAAACTTTATAATGACTAGATGTAGTCTGTCTATAATTAGATTCTCCAAGAGTCGCTGTACTTTTTGATTTATGAAGTTATCTTTACTTGGTCCCCATGAAAAGAATAAACAAGTTGAATGTGCATCATTGGCTGGTCACACACAATGAAAGAATCATCTATTTGCCTTTCATTTTTGGAGCAGATACTGATGATCCCGAGGCTACAACTGAAACTGTCTCTGTCAACGCTGATAAAGGACGACTTCCTTCACCAGTTTTGGAGCTAGCACCTAGAGATTATCCAAATGGGTCTTGTATAATCAAGGAGAGGATGACACAAGCACTCCGATACTTCAAGGAATCGACGGGAGAGCGAGTTTTAGCTCAGGTTTGGGCACCTGTAAAGGACGCTGGTCGGTATGTACTGACAACTTCAGGGCAGCCCTTTGTTCTTGATCCAGATTGTAATGGGCTTCATCAGTATCGAACAGTTTCTCTGATGTATATGTTTGCTGCGGATGGAGAGACTGGTGGAGTTCTTGGACTTCCGGGCCGTGTCTTTCGCCTGAAGTTGCCTGAATGGACACCAAACGTGCAATATTACTCCAGTAAAGAGTTCCCTCGTCTTGATCATGCTCTGCATTACAATGTTCGAGGAACTTTAGCGCTGCCTGTATTTGAACCATCTGGACAATCTTGTCTTGGTGTACTGGAGCTCATAATGACCTCCCAGAAGATCAACTATGCTGCCGAGGTGGATAAAGTATGCAAAGCACTCGAGGTTGGTTCTTTTAACCCTTTTCTAATTCATATCTCAGGTTAGATGTCTTATCTTTTGGTAATATTGGTCATTGGATATTGTGTTTCTGCATCAACTTTAGTAGAATGTATTTGAAATGTAGCCATTTATTGCATCTATCGCTCCGGTGGAGGCTGAGGTTTTGTTCATTGATCGTGTGTTCACAACTGATAAAATTTCATTAAGTCTGCCATACATCGCTTTTCAGTCTTTATACAAGTGCTTAATTCAGTTCAAGGGCAAGATAGATAAGCCACTTTACAAGTCAGACATTGTGTCCAGCGTTAATGGCTAAAGATGTTTGTTATGAAATGCCTGCAGTATCATTGTTGTAGCACTTGGTTAAATGCCTTTTGTGTCTTCAATAGCTAAAAGTGGTTCTATTTCAAGAGTTAATATCTTGGCTTGGATAGCTGCATATTTGTTGAGGCAATGGCCATCAAACTAAATGATCAGCAGTCCATGTTCCACGAGTTTACATAACCAGATCCAAGATGATGTAAACAATATTTTTCAACTACATGGTTTGATCATGAATGAAGTCTCGTAAAACTTGTGCGTCAATTCTATGTGCCTATGCTAGAGTCCTGATTGTTAGCCCAAACTTGATGGGTTGTTTGTCACTTGTTGGATCCAAATACGAGAACAGCTGGTGAGGAAGTCCAACAGTGATTCTAAAAGTGTTGCCTCAGTGATTCTTTTAGATATTTTCAGATTCTATTGAGTTTTTGAAATGATAAATCGGAGAACCTCCCTGTTGAAGATCACAATTATTTTTCGCTTGCCTATGCATTATAGTGGTTATCACAATGAATACTTTGCCTATAAAACTTTGTCTTAAATCTTGCATTCAATAGGAAACGTTTGATATGTTTGGCTCATAAAAGGTGCATCTGAACATCCATTCAATGACATGATACCTATCAGCAAAAGATGATCCAAATAGTGTGGTTACATATGTAGGACATTAAAAAGTTTTGAGTAGATAGATGCGTCTTTCATCTAAACCAAATGCATCCATCATCCTTTCCTACTTTTTCTTCTTTCACGATGAAGTCTCTTTGGTTAATAATTTGTGCTTTCTGCAGACTGTGAATTTGAAAAGTTCGGAGATATTGGACCACCCAAACACTCAGGTAAGGAACAGTTCCGTAAACAATTCTCGTTTTTCAAGTGGTTTTTTCATCATTTTTCTGAACAGGTATATGTGATGGGGTATATGAACCAGATTTGCAATGAAGGCCGGCAGAATGCATTAGTTGAAATCTTGGAGATACTAACTGCAGTATGTGAAACTTACCAATTGCCTCTGGCTCAGACATGGGTTCCGTGCAGGCATCGCAGTGTTCTGGCTGATGGCGGTGGGTTGAAAAAGAGCTGTAGTAGCTTTGATGGAAGCTGCATGGGGCAGATCTGTATGTCCACAACGGACGTAGCATTTTATGTGGTTGATGCTCACATGTGGGGTTTTCGTGAGGCCTGTGCAGAACATCACTTGCAAAAGGGACAGGGAGTTGCTGGAAGAGCATATGCTTCACAAAAATCATGCTTTTGTGAAGATATTACACAATTTTGCAAAACTGAGTATCCCTTGGTACATTATGCGCGCTTGTTCGGGTTGACCAGTTGTTTTGCAATCTGCTTACGGAGCAGTCACACCGGCAATGATGATTATATTCTGGAATTTTTTCTACCACCGAACTCGGGGGATTACAGCGATCAGCAGGCTTTGCTTAACTCGCTCTTATTGACAATGAAGCAGCACTTCAGGAGTCTCAGCATTGCTTCTGGAGGGGAACTTGAGCATGACTGGAGCTCAGTTGAGATAATTAAGGCTTCCATCGAAGAGAAAATTGATGCGAAGCCTGAATCTGTATCAGCACCGAAATCTCTTCCTCAGCCTACTCGTTTACCAAATGGATGGACAAATCTTGATCCATTGGGAGAGCAGCAGTTTTCAGTGGAATCTGATGTTGCAAAGGGTGCAGGGAGCAAATGTGGTACAGGTGAAGCCCCTAACCACGTATCCCCCTCTGACAATAAACCGACGGGAAAGAAATCAGAGAGAAAACGTGGAAAAGCTGAGAAAACAATAAGCTTAGAGGTTTTGCAACAGTATTTTGCTGGAAGTCTTAAGGATGCTGCTAAGAGTCTTGGTGGTATGTTCTCGATTTGAAATGCTTTTTGTTGACCAAAATGCTCATATATGCACGTTTCTTTTCTATTTTGTTTTTTTTATAGCTCTCATTAATGTTCTTGCAACTACAGTTTGCCCTACCACAATGAAACGCATATGTAGGCAGCATGGAATCTCTAGATGGCCATCTCGCAAGATAAATAAGGTCAACCGTTCACTTTCAAAGCTAAAATGTGTAATTGAATCTGTTCAAGGAACCGAAGGTGCATTTACTCTTACCTCACTGGCACCAAATTCCTTTCCTGCTGCTGTTGGGTCTATTTCTTGGCCTGCCTGCGCTAGTGGTTCCAATCTACCAAGTTCACCATTATCTAAACCTTCAGTATTTCCTGAGGAGAAGAATGAGTTCTCCAACCATGGAACACCAGAAAGTCATGAAGAAGCTGAACCCTCAAATCAAATGCTAGGAGGAAGGGTAACCAGGAAGGAGGAATTCACTCCGCAGAATGGCTTTCTATATGCTGAAGGCTCACATAAGTCCAGAACAGGGAGTGTCTCAAGAGAAGAGAGCGCAGGGACACCTACGTCCCAGGGTTCATGCCAAGGCAGTCCTTCCGCTGGAAATGAATTCTCCCCTCAGAACGATCTGGTTAATTCACCAGCACGTGAGGCATGCATGAAAGCNAGCGCAGGGACACCTACATCCCAGGGTTCATGCCAAGGCAGTCCTTCCGCTGGAAATGAATTCTCCCCTCAGAACGACCTGGTTAATTCACCAGCACATGAGGCATGCATGAAAGTGGGAGGCTCTCTGGAAGCAGCTCATCAAACCACAACAGAAAATAACTTAGCCGCTGCATTCCTAATACCTAGGCCTTTTATTCCAGAACGTGCTCAGGAGCCGTTTGGGGGAATGCTTGTCGAGGATGCAGGCAGCTCTCATGATCTGAGAAATCTTTGTTCAGCTGGAGAAGCTCAGGTTGATGAACGTGTCCCAGAATACAGTTTGCCAAACCCACCATTTTCTGATGCAATTGCCAAGGACCCTGTTTATGTTCCTGCTGACACGACGCCACAGTATTCTGCCTGGCCTGAAGTGACATTCGTTACAATAAAAGCAGCATATAGGGAAGATATCATAAGATTTCGGCTTTGTTTAAATTCTGGTATAGTTAAGTTGAAGGAAGAAGTAGCAAAAAGGCTTAAGTTAGAGCTGGGAACATTCGACATCAAGTATCTAGATGATGATCTTGAGGTAGTTTCAATTTCTTGTGATGCAGATTTGCAGGAATGTGTCGATATCTCATTATCATCTGGCAGCAGTATTGTCAGGTTGTTAGTTCATGATATTATGTCCAACCTAGGGAGCTCATGTGAGAGCTCAGGTAAATGATAGTAAGAATTAGGCTGTAAATACATAAAATTAGTCAAACCATTCTTGTAGTAGGATCTTGTCCACAATGTGTAAAATTGGCATATTGTCTAAAATTGTAACAAGTTTCCAATTGTATCAAGCCTCTGAGGAAACTAGTTTTTTTTCTTCTTGTTTCTTTTGCTTCCCAACCAAATTCTATTTTTAAAATTTCCTTATTTTATTCAAGAAGACAACAGATTTCAGATAGCAGATTCATTGGATCCGCAGTAGGTACTAATGGCATGGTGTGCGCAAGTTGGTCTGGACGCGTTATGAAAAAAGATAGTTGAAACAAAAAAAAGCAAAAAATGTTATAAGAAATATCAAATTATGGTGTATGTCTACTCTTCCTCCATGATCTTCATCTCAAATGCTTAATAATATATTCAATGACATATTTTCTATGTTTAATGACATATTTAATGACATATTTTCTTCACTTTTCATGCCTATATAAAGGCCTTGTAATAGATAGAAAAATACGCACAATTGAAGAAGAAATAAGAATTTCTTCTCTCTTTCTCTATATATATCTTTTAGCTTGTTTTTCCTTGTTCCATATTGTTACTTTGAGTTATATTATATAACACGTTATCAGCACGAAGTTCTAGCCAACTGAGTTGTTATGATGCGGCTAGTGTCAGTAGCGTCATTTAATGTTAATAATATGGTAAGAACGATGACGGTATAAGGTGTACAACGCCAACATATATTCGTCCATCACGGTTAGCCTTTTCTAATTAGTTTTCAAGTTTCTTTACACTTTGCTATTTATGTTTCCATATATGAACAAACTTGCTTTACGGAAAAATTTTTCTTGAAAGTTTATCAAATCATGTAAGGATTTTTGGTGTAAAGAACGATAAATATTTTTTTCATAACAAGTATTATGTTCCTATGTGTTAATATTAAGAAACACGAAGTGAAAACTTTTGAGAGAGCACATATTTTTCCTTTCTATTTTATCACATATCTCTTCCATCTTAAAGTGGGATGATTATCATAAAGGACACGTAGATTTTAATTGATTATGTGTTTTTCTATATTTGCTTGATACTTTTTATTTGATTGAGTTCAGTTAATGAAAGTTCGCATATGCAAATTAAATTCAATCGCCACCAATAGTGGAAACCCGTCCCATAAGTCTAAAATAAGGCATGATGTTACCGTGGAGGTATGAATGGATGTGGACGTGGTAATGAACGAAATTATAATCGTCATCATTATGGTAATGAGAACAATAATGACTCTCAAAATAATCCTTCACTTTGTGAAAGTGATGTTTGCCATTGATATGGCATTAGATTTTATAAAGCACGCATGGATTATTATGTTCCATTCCTGAAGTGAATGTGAAAACTGTGAGAAAGCACGGGAAAAAGATTTTTGCTGACTTATTTCTCTTTTCGGAATCATTGGAATTTATGCACAGCGATAAATCTCTTACAATTGCTCTGATACCATGTGAGAAAGCATGAGAGAAAATATGTTATTGATATTGGATATTCAATACAATACAAGAGGTCCTTATTTATAGTTATACTATACAAGGACATACTACTCCTATTCCAATGTGGGACAAGACTACACTATATACATAGCTGTAAACTAATACTCCCCCTCAAGCCGGTGCATACAAATCATATGTACCAAGCTTGTTACATATATAACCAATACGAGGACCAGTGAGAGACTTGGTGAAAATATCTACAAGTTGATCATTTGACCTCACAAACTTTGTAGCAATCTCTCCTGAAAGTATCTTTTCTCTATCGAAGTGACAATCAATCTCAATGTGTTTAGTTCTCTCAAGGAACACCGGATTTGATGCAATATGAAGGGCAACTTGATTATCGCACACAAGTTCCATCCGACTGATTTCACCAATTTTCAACTCCTTGAGAAATTGTTTGGTCCAGACTAGCTCACATGTTGCCATAGCCATTGCTCGATATTCTGCTTCTTCACTAGACCGAGCAACTACATTCTGTTTTTTGCTCTTCCAGGACACCAAATTGCCTCCTACTAAATCACAATATCCATATGTAGAACGTCTATCAGAAGGTGATCCTGCCCAATCAACATATGAGTATCCAATGATCTGCTCATGACCTCGATCCTCATACAGTAACCCTTTGCTTGGAGCCGATTTTATATACCGAATAATGCGGACAACTGCATCCCAATGACTATCACAGGGAGAATTCATAAACTGACTTACAACACTCACATGATAAGAAATGTCGGGTCTAGTCACTGTGAGGTAATCTAATTTTTCAACCAGCCGCCTATAGCTTGCATGATCGCTAAACGGCTCCCCCTGTCCTGGCAGAAGTTTAGAATTCGGATCTATCGGAGTGTCAACAGGTTTGCAACCTATCATCCTTGTCTCCTCAAGAATGTCTAAAGCATATTTTCTTTGAGAAATAATAATACCTGAGCTAGACTGGGCAACCTCAATACCTAGAAAGTATTTCAATCTGCCTAGATCCTTAGTTTGGAAGTGCTGGAAGAGATGTTGCTTCAGATTGGTAATACCACCCTGATCATTGCTAGTAATAACAATATCATCAACACAGACTACCAGATAAATACAGAAGACTTGAAGTAGAGTGCCGATAAAACACAGAGTGATTAGCTTCACTACGAGTCATGCCAAACTCCTGGATAACCGTGCTGAACTTACTAAACCAGGCTTGAGGAGACTGCTTTAGACCATAAAGTGACCAACGCAAGCGACATACAAGGCCACGAGACTCCCCCTGAGCAACAAAACCAGGTGGTTGCTCCATATAAACCTCATCCTCAAGATCACCGTGAAGAAAGGCATTCTTAATGTCCAGATGATAGAGGGGCCAATGACGAACCGCAACCATGGATAGAAAAAGGCGGACTGAAGCCACTTTAGCCACGGGAGAGAAAGTATCACTGTAATCGAGCCCAAATATCTGAGTATATCCTTTGGCAACAAGACGGTCCTTAAGTCGATCAATCTGGCCATCGGGACCAACTTTGACTGCATAAACCCAACGACAACCAACAGTAGATTTACCTGAGGGAAGAGGAACAAGCTCCCAAGTACCACTTGTATGTAAAGTAGATATCTCATCACTCATAGCTTGTCGACATCCTGGATGAGACAACGCTTCACCTGTAGAATTAGGGATAGAAACCGAGGACAAAGAAGATATAAAAGCATAATGGGGAGATGACAGGCGATGATAACTCAAACCGGCATAATGAGGATTATGGTTAAGGGTGGTCCGTATAACTTTTCGAAGTGCAATCGGTGTACTAGGAGCAGGGCCCGCAGTAGGAGCAGGGTCAGATGCAGGACGAGAACCAGTTGGGCCTGATGTAGGGCGCGAACGACGATGATAAGTCAAGAGTGGTTTTCTTATGGTTGAGGTACTAGGAGGAATAACACTAGACTCCTCAACAGTTGGTATGGGTGAAACCTCTATGGCCGAAGGTGGAGGAGGAGCTATAGTAAACTCCTCAAAGGTCGGTATAGGTAAGACCTCAGATATATCATGATAGTCAGTAGAAGTAAAGAAAGGTTTAGACTCAAAAAATATGATGTCAGCTGACATAAGGTACCTACGAAGATCTAGAGAATAACAATGATATCCCTTCTGAACACGAGAATAACCAAGGAAGACACACTTGAGAGAACGATGAGCTAACTTATCTTTCCCAAGGGCTAAGGTATGAACAAAACACGTGCTCCCAAAAACACAGGGTGGAAGAGAGTATAAGGGTGATTGGGGAAACAATACTGAATGCGGAATATGATCCTTGATGGGAGATGAAGGCATCCGATTAATCAAATAATAATCTGTGAGAACTGCATCGCCCCAAAAACGCAACAGAACACGAGATTCAATTAGAAGTGTACGAGCAGTCTCAATAAGGTGCCTATTCTTTTTCTCAACAACCCCATTTTGCTGAGGGGTATAAGACAAGATGTCTGATGAATAATTCCTTGAGAAGTCATAAACTGCTGAAACTGAGAAGATAAATATTCTAAGGCATTGTCACTGTGAAAAATGCGAATAGAAACACCAAATTGGTTTTTGATTTCAGCACAGAAACTCTGGAATATAGAAAATAACTCAGAATGATTTTTCATTAAGAAAAGCCAAGTACATCTTGAATAATCATCAATGAAACTAACAAAATAACGAAATCCCAAGGTTGAACTGACTCTACTAGGACCCCATATATCAGAATGAACTAAGGAGAAGACAAACTCTGCATGACTCTCAACACTACGCGAAAAGGAGGCTCAGGTATGTTTCCCAAGCTAACACGACTCACAATCTAATATAGACAAAATAGATAAACTAGGCACCATCTTCTGAAGTTTGGATAAACTCGGATATCCTAAACATCCGTGGATTAGATATGGAGGATCTGTAACTAGACATGCTGTGGAAGGACTGAGTGAGTTAAGTAGTAAAGGCCTTCTGATTCACGTCCTATACCAATTATCTGTCCCATACTACGGTCCTGCATAATAAAAGAATCATCAATAAAATATATACCACAATAGAGGGCACGAGTCAAATGACTAACAGATGCAAGACTAAAAAGACAGCCAGGGAGATAAAGAACGGAATCTAGGATGATAGAAGATAAGGGATTAGCTTGTCCAACTCCTTTTGCCTTAGTTTGACATCCATTGGCTAAAGTAACGGTGGGAAGAGACTGTGAATATACAATATTTGACAAAAGTGATATATTACCAGAGATGTGATCAGAAGCGCCTAAGTCCATGACCCATGGTCCAAGAGTACTAGACTGGGAAACACAATCAAAAGAATTACAAGTAACAGAAGTATCGGTCTGAGTAACTGAGGCTACTTGTGGAAATGTCTGCTTACTTGCTCGATACTGAAGGAGCTCATTATATTCTTCTTTAGATAAAGAAAATCCCTGGTTACCTGGAGTCTCGGTCTGAGCAATGTAAGCATTTTTGGGTGGACGACCATGTAAGGAATAACATATTTCACGAGTGTGTCCAAGTTTGTGACAATAAGAACACTTAGGTCTAGATCTTCCAAAACGACCTCCTCCTCGTCTATTCTCCATAGTTTGAGATGCCCGAACATCCATTGTCTGGGATGCAAGAA